GGCAGACAGTTTCCTCCTAATTGAAAAGAAAGCAGCTGTAAGCTAAGGCAAGAAGGGAAGACCAACCAGCATGCAGGCTGTTTTGTGTTATTGTGTGCAATTAATGATAGGTTTGCTCATCCTGGGTTTTTTTTTTTTTTTTAAACTAGAAGCAATGCAGCTCTACCTATAAAGATCAAGCAGGTTTACTGCAGGCTAATAGCAGCAGCTTAATACAGAGCATCAGAGATCACTATTCCTAATACAGGCACCATTGTACTCATTCCACTGTGAATAATGCAGGGAGAATTCTGATCAGTAACCCATACTTAATTTCATCAGTGTTAAACTTTTTTTTTTTTTTAATTTTTACCATCCTGTCAAATTTTTCTTTCATCAGCCTTGCTACATTTCATTGATATGCTTTAATTCCTATAAGGAACACAGGTCTATATTGGTCTAAGTGGCCCAGACCAACTGTTAACTTCTGAGCTGTCAATACAAATTGAGCTTTTTGCTTCAAACATGCTCTTCTTCTGGGGTGACCGAGGTGCAGTAGTGAAAGGTAATGGCTGTGCTCCTGAAATAGACCAGTACAACAGTGACTCAAAAGTACTAGATTTTCCAACTTTATTAAAAAGGGCAAACTTTACAAGCAGTAAATATAAAATGTACATAGCAAAGTTTTGACAGGTGGTACTGCTCCGTATATTCCCTTAATCGGTCTTCTCACAGTTCAGAGGTACATTTTAGAATATCTTACGGCCTTGGTGGACGCATGCCAGGTGGAGGGGGTCCTGGGAAAAAAGGAACAAGGTGAATATTGAAGAGGAAGAGAAAGCAAAGCTAAACCAGAAAGATGTTTTCACCAAGCTCAAAGTAGCCTTAGGCCCCCTTTTTTGGCACCAAGGCATTTATTGACAACTAGCAGAGGTAGGGAGGTATTGAAACATTATCGCCCTTCAAACATTTTATTTACGTTACTGCTTCTTGTAGCTTCTAGGCATTTAAGATAACCTCCGCTCACCTCTCATTCCTGGGGGTGGTGGTCTCATGCCTGGTGGGGGCATTCCCATAGGAGCACCTCGGCCAGGTGGCATTCCCATCGGTGGGCCCATAGGTGGTCTCATGCCTGGAGGAGGTCCCATCATTCCTTAAGGCAGAGAAATAACAAGCATATAAATCCAGCTGAATATTCAAGCCACTACTTGGATATTGGAATAGTCCTCCATAATACCACATCTTCATCAGACTGATAGATACCTCTTTATCACCAGTTTTGCCACATAACATGAGCTCCTTGCTGCCCTGCTCTATACACTAATTCCTACCTGGAGGAGGTGCTCCTCTGCTCATGGGTGGAGGAGGACCCCCACGCCCCGGTGTGTACTGAGTTGGGGCTCCTGCTATGCTAGCAGTGGCTGCTGCAGCAGCAGCTGCAACTGTTCCACGACCCTGAGGTGTCATCACCTGTAAACAAAATAAACAGGTTCACAGAGAAACAGCACAACATCTGCTTTACATTAATAACTAAGAAATAAGCAAGACTGAAATTATTGTCCCTACAGAAAATGACACCAGTCTCCTCTTAACATGTTAAATAATGCTACAAATCTGTAATCCAGTTCAATGGATACGACTTAAATTCTGTGGAAGCAGCAGCACATTCAAGCCTTTTCTTCCACCATATATAGACGGAGTTCCTAGGCGATCTAGCACCAAAAAAGCCTCACTAGGGTCAAACTTCTTGGTAACAGAAACTAAGATTACAGTTCTTCCACTCCACCAATTTCTTGCATCACATTGGTACCAAGAATTAAAAGTCACCCCAGAATACACCAGAACTCTTTTTTAATGTGTCACAGCATCTCACCTGTTGGGATGGTCCTCCCACTCCTCTGACAGGGCCTGCTAATCCTGCTGGAGCCTGTGGCATGGGTGCACCAGCTGGTACTCCCCTCCCTGCCGG